CATTTACACACAGACTAAAATCTGACCCACACACAGTATAGCCTCATTACATATTTCAAATTACAATTAGTCTTAAAGGGATACCATAACCAACAAAACAACTTTAGCTTCATAAAGCTGTTTTGGTGTATAGATCATGCCTATGCAGTCTCACTGCTCAATTCTCTGCCATCTAGGAGTTAAATCATGTCGTTTATACAGCCCTAGGCACACCTTCCTGCATTTGACTTACATGGCCTTCCTACACACTTCCTGAAAAGGAACTTAGATATTTTAGTTTCCTTTACTGCACAGTCTGTTTAATCTAGAATTATTTTTTATCTCTTGCTCTGTTAAAAGCCATGAAGGAACCTCTGTGTGTGATTAAAGTTCAATTTACCTCCCCATGGCAGTCAACCGCAGCCCTAGCCAAATTTAGGGGAATTAGACAGTCCTTCCCAACACACCCTACCCCAGCAACCTTGCCGCTTGCCTGGGGTAGGGCTTAAAATCGAAAAACTGCTCAATAGGTGCCCGAAACTGCATTTCTCTGGCGTCTGGTAATACAAACGCCACATCCCTGCTTGTAACCAGAATCCCATCATACCTGTACTGCTCCCAACACTCTGGATGGCAGATGGCACAGAGCTGGAGGAATGGAAGGGCAGTAGTCCATTTTCACGGAGTGGCTTGTCCTGCCAGCCATGCACAGCCTCACCTATGCCAGAATCTGCTGTTGTCTGCCACTCGTCTGAACCTTGCCGCATGTGTGTGTGAGGGGCATCTGCTCTGCCATGCCGGCTGTAGCCTGTGGAGAGCCGTTCCTCAAGATGGTTAAGCCACAAAGCTAAAGAGTTGCGGTCATCGAGTGTGGTAGCTGGGTGGATCAGCGCATAGGACAGCAGCTGACGACTTTCCTCTATGTACGAGTTGCTCTCTGTGGTGTACGCCAGCACCTTTTGCAGGAGTTTCATGTACTCGCATTTGGCATCAGTGTTCCGTGGCTGCAGCAGCGGAAGGTGGGTGAGGAGGAGAGAGATCACAGTCTCTTTTGACTCCTGATGCCACTGGCTAATGAGTGCTGAAAAGACAAGCATATGGTTATGATACAAGGTGTTACAATATATCTAAAGGTATGCTGAAAATCAGGTTGCCAATGGAACAAACGACAGACAGCAGGCGCGCGGAGTATCCAATGGAACAAGCGACAGACAGCAGGCGCGCGGAGTATCCAATGGAACAAGCGACAGACAGCAGGCGCACAGAGTAACGAGAGAGACAGACAGCAGGCGCGCGGAGTATCCAATGGAACAAGCGACAGACAGCAGGCGCGCAGAGTAACGAGAGAGACAGACAGCAGGCGCGCCGAGTAACGAGAGAGACAGACAGCAGGCGTGCCGAGTAACGAGAGAGACAGACAGCAGGCGCGCCGAGTAACGAGAGAGACAGACAGCAGGCGCGCAGAGTAACGAGAGAGACAGACAGCAGGCGCGCAGAGTAACGAGAGAGACAGACAGCAGGCGCGCAGAGTAACGAGAGAGACAGACAGCAGGCGCGCAGAGTAACGAGAGAGACAGACAGCAGGCGCGCAGAGTAACGAGAGAGAGACAGCAGGCTACAAGAGAGTAACGAGAGAGACAGACAAAGTGGCGCCGCGAGAGTACCCAGAGAGACAGACAGCAGGCGCCAAGAGAGTAAATCTTGGTGAGAGAGACAGACAGCATGCCAAGAGAGTAACGAGAGAGAGACAGACAGCAGGCGCCAAGAGAGTAACGAGAGAGACAGACAGCAGGCGCGCAGAGTAACGAGAGAGACAGACAGCAGGCGCGCAGAGTAACGAGAGAGACAGACAGCAGGCACGCAGAGTAACGAGAGAGACAGACAGCAGGCACGCAGAGTAACGAGAGAGAGACAGACAGCAGGCACGCAGAGTAACGAGAGAGAGAGAGAGACAGCAGGCGCGCAGAGTAACGAGAGAGACAGACAGCAGGCACGCAGAGACAGACAGCAGGCACGCAGAGTAACGAGAGAGACAGACAGCAGGCACGCAGAGTAACGAGAGAGACAGACAGCAGGCACGCAGAGTAACGAGAGAGACAGACAGCAGGCACGCAGAGTAACGAGAGAGACAGACAGCAGGCACGCAGAGTAACGAGAGAGAGACAGACAGCAGGCACGCAGAGTAACGAGAGAGAGAGACAGCAGGCACACAGAGTAACGAGAGAGAGAGAGACAGCAGGCACGCAGAGTAACGAGAGAGAGAGAGACAGCAGGCACACAGAGTAACGAGAGAGAGAGAGACAGCAGGCACGCAGAGTAACGAGAGAGAGAGACAGCAGGCACACAGAGTAACGAGA